GACCTATACAATTTTTTTCTTTTTGATTTTTTACCTGGATTACTGAGATGCATCAGGACATTAATTTTCTACATTTTGTCTATATTTTGTACTCTGTTTGGTTCTTCATTGAGCTTTTCAGTCAGCAAACTTCCCCAGTTTCAGTTCTTGGAACCAGTTCCAGCTCTTTGAGCCTTCTTAGTCTCTAGAGTCTCCAGTGTTTCCTGTAGCATCTCCAAATTCTGCAGTTCCAGTCTCCTCATTTATTCACTTACATTCCCAGAGTCTTCAGAGCCATGCCACCAGTTACTGAGTCATCAGTACCTTAGCTATAGAGTCATTCCTGGTCCTGAGTTACAAGACTGGTTCCAGAGTCTGAGTTTTCCAGGAGTCTCCAGAGTTACCGGTTTCCATGGGTGTATTCACACCAGGAAGTTCCTTCGTCCACTTGTTTGGTTCGGACCAAAAGCGGACTTTATTTTTTTAAATTGTTTGATRTGGTTGGCATTCACACTGAGCTTTTCCAGTTTTCTCTGTGCTCCCTTGTGTCTCTTCGACACTCTAAGTTTTGTAAGTTCTACTGCCATGAAAACTTTTGTTTTTGTTTACATAAAGTTCAAGCTCCTCGCACCAGTCTGAATTTTTGGGTCTAAAATCCATTAAACCAGTATATTTCATAAGAATTGTAGACATCTAAATGGGCAAAAAATTAGAAAACAAAGTGAAATATTTTTTAAAGAATAAAAAGACAAAAAACAAAGTCATATTGTTTCTGAATGAGATTAATAAACAATATAAATGGTTAAAGTAGCTAAATTAAGTGCACTGCAGTTCATTGTTAAACTGCAAAAGGTACACAGAAAAAAAACAGTGAAATGGTAGAGTGAAAGATAAACCAAAATTCACCCAATAACTGTTGAAATCAATACAATAATCTGTGTGAAAAGGTACATATTGAAGAGATGGAATGTAATACCTGCACTTCCTCTGCTATGACTGATGCATCACCTGTAAAATAAGTAAAGATATATTATTATATTCCCTCACTTACAAAAAGTTTAGAAATCAATGTAAAGGTATGTAAATGCTGATACCAAAAAAGAAGTAGCCAAAAAACAAACAAACAAACATACGGACTGAACCATGATGTAATTGGACATATTGGTTTGATATAAGCCATAGCAACAGTTTAGTTTTGTCTGCATGTAATTCCAAATATCTAATGATAGCTTTGTTGTTTCTTTAAATATAATTCCCATTACATTTTTTACAGGATGTTTCAATGTAAGTGACTAAGATAACCTTCCTCTTGTATTATTGTATTGTACTCACACAGTACACAGTGTGTGTTCACAGTACTCAATTTTAAAACACACTAATAAGAAAATGTTCTTATTTTATGTTGTTCTCCAAGAAACATTACTGATTTAATTGACTGGCTGCACTGACTGAAAAATGCCTGACTTTGGACAGTATTATGGRCACAGGTTTAACTATGCAATTATCAGCAGCTAATATGATTTGACAGCCTTATAAAAAGTAGCGACATCTGATGAATAAAGGCCATGTCCTAAAATGTTTCAAGCCTGACAAATCAGATACTCCAAAAAAATCAATCAGTATGACTTAAGCTATGCTAAAATCAGAAGCCAACATGAAAAAATATTCCTTGATGTGTTTCGAGGCTAACTTTGCAGAAAAACAAAGTTTGTGAGTTAGAGCTGCACAATAAACAGTATTGTTTGAGTATCGTCATCACAATGAATGTGTGCACAATAGTCACATTGCAGATCCTGTGATACAGGAGGCAAATTAAATCAACGTGTTATCCAGGGACTAAACCACTAAACCATTAGTTGTAGGGTTTTGGATTCTTTTATGTCTTTGTGCTATACTTCTCAGTTGTGTTCAGCTCCCCAGTGATTCTCTTCCTCTGTGTCTACCTGCTCCTCTCGACTCCTCCCTCCCCTGCTTGTTTTCCTCAGGTGTTTATCATTTCAGCTAATTGTCTTCCCTTTATGTTCTGTGTTGCAGCTTCATTGAGCTTCCCACAGTCTGTTTGGTCTGTTTCCACGAGTTGAGTATCCCTCTGATTCCTGAAAGTTTTCCTGCGAGTATTTTATGCTGCCACGACAGCTCTTTGTTTTGTAAATACATTTGTCATTTTTGAAGTGTGAGCTCTCTACAGTTTTTGTGTCTGCTGCTCCCTGGGTTAAAATGTATGCAGACCCTGACAAAAGTCAGTGCTCTAAACGGTCGTGTGTTACGGCTTTTATTTTGACAGGTCACTTATATATTTTTGTGAAACTTATAGGATRATAATGGTAATGTTTTTTGGAGAAGTGTTGTCAGTGAATTCCCAAGCTGATGAAAACAAGGAAGACAATTTTTTTTTAGATTTGTTAGATTACGTTACATTATTAGAAACATTACAAAAACAGAAACTAAGAGACACAGAGGCAACACATTAGGTGAAAATGCAATTCACGTTTGCACATGATAGAAGGAAACAGGTTCCAGCATAATAWAAGATAACAAGAATAGCTATCAAATACGGACAAATACATACTTGTTACTTGAATAAAAAGAGAGGTATGATCTGTGCTGGTTTATTGTCAACAAGATGGCAGCATAACTTAGTGTTACTCAAGTCATCTGTTCAAAATTCCTGTATTTTTTCCTATCGCAATATAAATTGCAGTGTTAGAAAAAATGCAATGTTGTTTTTTTGCAATATTGTGCAGCCCTAATGTGTGGGTCTTTAAAACAGGAAAACTGAAAAATCAATTATTATAATTAATTAGATCATGGGTTCTTAACCTTTTTGACCTCGGGAACATAAAGTGGCACGAGGCCCAGTCACATATTACCAATGTACGGATCAAAATGATAATTATTCTAATCTAAATCTTGGTTTAATTTTTTTTGTATTTACATCATAAATAAACTATCATAAATAACATAACCAAATTAAATACATTTACAGTTAACTCCTGTCAAATAATCACAAGACATGAATATAACAACCATTTTTGTATTGTAACCTGCCCACAACAATAATTTGAACAAATACAAAGGTCAGTCAACAGACCACTCGGCTTAT